CTAACTCTGAAAGAGCATCTCCTGCCACCAGCCTGGCCCACGTTCGTTGGCCTCCACCCCCTCCTCTGCTATGCAGATGCTCCCCCCACAGCATGTTCCTCGTTGCACTGGTAAATGGGGTGCCCTCTGGGGCCACCCATGCAACACAGAGAGCCGGCGAGGTTTCTGCTATGGTGGGCTAAATGCCAGCCCCCAGAGACATTCAGGCCCTAATCCCAGAAGCCTGTGGATGCCAGCTTCTGTGACACCAGGGACCTTGCAGACATGATTAAGTTAAGGATTCTGGGATTTGAGATGGTCCTGGGTCACCCGGGTGGGCCCCGGGTCATCACAAGGACCCACGGGGAAAGCAGAGGAGGTCAGCCGCGGCAGAAGGGGTGTGGAGGTGGAAGCTGCTGCGAGCTGCTGTCTTGAAGATGCGGGAGGGGTGCCAGCCCAACAGAGTAGCGCCAGGCCCCGGACAAGCCCAGGGAAGGATCCGCCCTCAGACTCCTCTGAGCCAGGGTGGCCCTGTAGCATATTAATTTGGGTTTCTGGCCTTCAGAACTGTGAGAAAACAACAAAACTTGTCTTAGGCCTGAGGCTGGTGGTAGCTGTTGCATTACGACAGCAGTGGAGAAGTGGTACCTTGCCCCTGTAGGCCAGACCTGCCCGGGCATCCCTCTCCTCTGAGTCCTGGCATGTTTCTCTCACTTAGGGCAATGGACTGAGTTGTCTGCCCAGATTTGTACTCAGAAGCCCTAACCTCCAGTGTGGCTGTGTTTGGAGAAAGGCTCTTTACAGAGTTGATTAAGGTAAATGAGGTCAGAGGCTGGGCCTGATCCCCTAGGACTGCATCCATCAGAAGAGGAGGTCAGGACACAGGCACTCACAGAGGGACGGCCACCAAGGACCCAGGGAGAGGACGGCGTCCACACGCCCAGGAGGCTCGAGGAGCCAGCCCTGCTCACCCCTGGGTCTGGGCCTCCAGCCCCAGGCCTGGGAGAGAGGAAGTGTCTGTGGTTTAGTCTTTCAGTTTGTGGTGTTTTTTTATGGTTGCCTGAGCAGATGAAGACACTTAGTGTAGGTTCCTTTTTGTCCCCAGACTTCCAAGTGCTAATCTAGTGGTGATTTAGCTCTGTGCTCCGGGAACCTTCCCAGGAGGTTGAGTTCTGCGTCACAGAGGAGTAGGTTTATTTACACAGTACCCTTCCCCACATGGCAATCCGTGCAGGGTCCAAATCCCACAGACGTGCCCTGCAGCTCCCCCCTGTGTCCGGACCTCATCGTATCTGAGCCAGAACCTGCGGCGGCCTGGGAAAGGCCTCCTGCGGGAGGGAGTGTGTGTCCCACATTCCGAGGCCAGAAGCCATGTGTGTCAGCGGGCTGGGCCGTGGGGGCTGTGATGCTGGCTCGTCCGGAGGGTGTTTCTGGAGGGGTTAGGCTTTGAAGAAAGCAGATGGCCCTCCTGGTGTGGGCGGGCCTTGTCCCATTAGTCGGTCCAAAGGGCCGAGCGTGAGGGGACACCGCCGGTCCGCCTGCTGAGCTGGGTGGGTCTCCACCTGCCTGCAGACTCAGATTGAGATACTGGCCCTTCTCGGGTCTTGAGTCCGCCGGCTCTTGGACTTGAGCTCATCGCACGGGTTCTCCTGGGTCTCCAGCTTGCTGACTGGGGATCCTGGCATCTCAGCCTCCAGAACCGCATGAGCCAATTCCTTGGCATAAGTCTCCATGTATGTATACATTCTATCGGTCCTGTTCCTCTGGAGAACCCTGATTAATACACTGTGTCCTTGGAATTGTCCCAAGAGCCCCACATCAGCATGGGGCTGGTCCCCAGGGACTGCGTCTGCATGCTTGGAACCAGGCGTGTGGGGTCTGGAGGAGACGCACACAGCCATCCTCCCTAGCCCAGTCCCACATCCATCCCAGTGGGGGAGCCACCCACCACCTGACCTCCCATCCCCACGGACCGCTCTGCACTCCGTGCGTGGGCCCACTGCCACCCCTTGGGTCTCACCGATAGCTCTGCCTTACCTCTGAGACCAGAAACTCCAGTCTCTGTCCACCTCCAGCCCTGCCTGTGTACTCGGGCCGCCTACATCTTAGAGAGCAAGCTGCCTGCCCACTGCTTCCCATCTTCACATCCTCGCCGACCAGCCTAGAACACGGCTCCTCCTCCTAGCCACGCTCTCGCTGCCTCCCCAAGTCCTTATCAGTCAGAACAGACCTCAGGCTCCCCCGGAGGGCGTGCTGCCTGGCGGTTGGGTTGCTGGCCCCGCCCCGGCATTGCCAGTCGGATGGTGGAGGGGGCTGAGGGTTTGCATTTCTCCCAGACCCGGCACCACCCTTTCAAACTAGACCGCGTTGAGGTAACCAGTACACCCTGAAATCTCAGGGTTTTTCTCTTTCATTCGAGTGGCCTAATATAGGTTACGTAACTCTTCATCTTCTGATTTTGGGAACATGTGGCCTCCAGGGTCACTTTGAAAGGGGAACCATGTTGGAAGCAGCTTACCTCACCCTTGCATCCCGTCAGTCACATGCCCCTGTGTGGCACACCGACTGTAAGGGAGGCTGGGGAATGGTCTGCTCACCCAAAAGAGGACGTGGTGTGGTGGACACGGAGTGTCGTCTCTCCTCTGCTCACCAAGACAATGTCTTGTCACGCTCAGAACACATTCTTTGCCACCCCAAAGCCCATGGGGTCACAGGTCCATCTCCAGGCCCAGAATCTCCAGGTGATGAGCCCAGCGGGCTGGGATGTGCCTTCTCTGGTCTAGCAGCTCTTGACTTTAAATAATTGGAGCTATCTGTCCCCCTGTGACAGATCACATTGGTGTCCCCAGGCCTCCCCATCACCTGGGTCCACGCTCTTGCTAGGTGACTTTGTGGAACCCTTCCACTGTGGGCGGCAACTCGGGTCTCACCAGACAACGCGGACAGGCCAGCCTGTAGAGAACGTGAGACATGGAGCAGAGCTGTGTCTCCCTAAGGCCAGCCAAGGCCTGCCACCAGCAGCCAACACCCTCCAAGACAACCAGCCGAGCCCAGCCATGTGAGCGGCAAAGCTTACTGTTGTGTGCAATGGAGATTTTGTTGGTATATGTTAATTTGGGTGTTTTTTAGTGGAGCACCCTAATGCAAAGAACCTATTTCTGTATTAGGATAAACCAGGCTGTGTGTGGTCACAAATAAAACTGAGGTTAAATCGATGTGGCAGTGACAGCCAATGGCAGAGGCTGGGGCAGAGGCTGTACCAATGGCGGTCCGCACGACGCGCGTGGAAGCTGAGCTAAAAATCACTCGTAGTAACTTGGCAGGTGGGCCAGACAAGGGCTGATCCTGCAGCCCAAGGGCAGAAAGTGGAAAGCAAGATATGTCAGCACGTGTCAGGCACCTTTGGCTGCGAGAGGGTGCATTCGGGAAGGAGCGCCTGCCCGTTTAACAAGCAGAGAGGAAAGTGGCCAAGGAGAGGGATCCGGAAATTCAGAACTTTGCAATTTGGAGAGCCGATCGCTCCCGGAGTTGGGATTTTAAAAGCTTTTTGAGACAAAGGCCCAGTACAATGCCAGAGTTGGGGCAGGTGGGGCAAGGGCCAGAGGAAGGGTAAGGTCTGTCCCTTGGAGCCCAAGAGCCCCCAGCAGCTGCCATTGAGCTGGCAGAGGGGAAGGGGAATGAGACCATAGCCCTAACATTTCCATTTTCTGTGCTGGGTCTGCTGTGGGCTGGGTGGCCCTCTTCTGCCTTGAGCTATGCCAGTAGGGATATGTGGCCTCTAGGGTTGCCATGCAAGGGGAAGGGAGTGTCAGGGGACTGGGCAGGAGGTTTAGAAGGGCCAGGCCTGACAGTGGGGTGCATCGCTCCCACCCGTGTGCCGCCAGCCAGGATGCAGTCACAAGCCCAGGAGGAGAAAGAGGGGTTGTGCCCATCGGCCTCGGCCCACCTTCCTTCTGTCACGCCCTTGCAGCTGCCCCCAGCCACCTCCAGCGTGTGACCTCAGCGACATGCCACACAGAGGTTTTATCACTCTCAACACAGTGGGTCCCTTGCCTCCAGGCAGTTGGACATCTGGTCTCCTCTGCTTGGAACATGCCCTCTGTCCAGCCACAGCCCCCATACACATATGTGTGCACACATGCATGCACACGCATGTATGCACACATGCTCTGCCTGCCCCTGCCTTTCCAGCCGCAGTGTGGAGCTTGTGGAGTTGCAGGGACTCCAGAGTCCTGAGGGCAGGAAAGCTGGAAAGAAAGTTCTGCTTTGAAAGGATGTCTAACCACTTCCCATATGACCTAGGGAAACACAAAATACAGAATGCCTTTGTGGAGAATACAAAATGGAATTCCGGAAGGAAGGAAGGATTCAGAAAAGCCAGACTGGTACCAAGAAAAGGCTGCAGAAGCTTCCCACTGGCAAACGTTTAAGCGATGCTCAGGGACCCTGATAGTCACAGAATCACGGTCACCAGGAACGCTGGACTCCAAGTGTGCTTGCTTTATCTGAGGATATGGAGACCCTAATGTTTAAATGTTTAAAAAAACATTTAAAAAGCAACCAATAAGTTTATTTAAACAACAACCAGGTAAGAAACTTGGAAGCTTGCCCACTAGCTGGGCTGGGGCCCCCAGCCCCCACCATGGCTCTGCCCTGCCCTGTCTTCCCACTGGCCCAGGCTGGCTGTCCTTCGCAGAAATTGCCCGCTGGCTGTTCTTCCTCCCTCTCTGGCCTGCGTCCCTCTCTGCCTTTAGTACTGGGGCTCCTGTCTGCAGCTCGTGTGTGCAGATGCCGACCATCCTCAGGGAGAGCTAGGGGCCCCCAGTGCCAGGCTTTGAGGGCCGAGGCTGAAATGGAGGCAGCTGCCAGCAGATGTGGGTTCTGTTTCTAATCAGCCCAGTAGCCAGGCTTTGGCTGCCGCCTGGAGTCTCCCAGCCCCACCCAGCCTCTCCTCTGGCAATTTTGAATCTGGATCCCTGTATCCTGAAAGTGACTTAGCCCTGGGGAGGGGAAGGCGGAGCCCTGGAGCCGCTGGTGGGAGGCAGGGGAGTCCCTGACTGGCTGCTTGCTTTGGGAGCATGAGGGGCCTGCACAGCTCCCTGGAGCTCCCGGTGGCTACTTGGACCCTGCCAACCAGCCCCCTGCCCCTGCCATGGGACCTCATAGGACAAGGGGGCCAGACAGTCCCAGCCCCCACCTTCCCAGAGATGCCTGGAACGGTCCAGGGAGGAGGAACCCCACCACCAGCTCAGGTCAGATAAGCACCTGCCTTCCTATCCTGGGGCCTCCCAGCCACGGGCAGAAGGGAGGCAGGCATTTCTCACCACCCCAGAGCCCTGCCTGCCTGGTGTGCCTGGGCCTCAGCCCCAGACACTGGGGCCTGGAGTGCAGAGGCTGCTCTGTGAGCTCTGCCCCCAGCCCAGTAGGGCCTCCAGTCCAGGACTGGGGCCGGGGTCCTCCCCTGCTACTCTGTCCCCTGGGTTGGGGACTTTCTGTCCCCTTGGAACAGGTGCCCCCTCGCCCTTCTGTTGTCTGAGGACTTGAAATCCCTGTCTGGTATGAAAGCTCATGTTTGCCCTTGAGGGTCACCCTGGATTCACCTGGAAAGGTGCCCAGAACTTGGTCTGCCTCCGTGGGCAGGCAGAAAGCAGGGTGTTGTCCGCGGGCACAGGGCGTTTGAGAGGTTGTCTGGGACCCTTTCCTGCCATCCGCCGGGGCCCCCAGCCCTGCACGCCCTGGAGAGTCGGTGTCACAGATGAGGAGGGAGCAGCCGCGCAGGCAGCGTGGCAGTGTCCCCTTCCCTACACGGCACCTCCGTGCAACGGGAAGGGGCCGCACCAAGGCGCTCTTGGCCCCGTCCTCGGCCGGGTGGCGGTTCTGTGCTGGCCCGTCCATCCCTGGGGCCACAGGCCAGGCCTTGGACCATGGAGTGCAGCAGGCCGGTGGTGGGGCTCTGCTGGGCTTCCCTTATTTTGTGTATTTGTGAAATTGTGAACCGTCTTTATGTGTTTGGAGGAGGGTATCAGCCAGCAGCAGGGAGCCAGGGCGACACCCCTGTGCAGCCCCGCCCCACCCAGGCCAAGCAGCAGATCACATGCCCACCTGCGAAGGGCTCCTGCGAGGTTTATTGTTCAGGGGTAAAACCCGGTGGGCAGGACAACCTGCTGGGGAAGGAAGAGGCCGGACTGCCACGCGCAGCCTCTAGGGACAGAAGCTGGGCTGCAGCTTCTGGAGTTTGCCAGAACCTCTTCTGGGGAGGCCAGGGGAAGAGGCACCAGGAAGTCAGCAGAGGCCTGTGACCACCCCGGGCAGGGAGCTGGAAGGGCAGCGGTGGGACCAGAGAAGGGACAGCTGGCAGGAGGGCAGGCCGCTTCTCAGACAGGTGGGGCCTGTCTCCAGCGCTCAGGGTGGGCCAAAAGCCTGCTGCGGGGCGGGAGAGCCCGCAGCTGGCCCTGGGGAGCAGGGTGCTCATTGTCACGTGGTCAAGACAGGCTGAGGAGACGGAGGGAGCTGGGCCAGGCTGGCCGGGGCCTTCTGAGGACGTGGAAGCGTCCCCTGGCACGGGCCATGCTCCACGCATGTGCCCCCAGAGCCCCCTCCTCCACAGCTGGCCGCGAGGCGGTCCCACACAGGTGGAGGCCCAGCATCACCTGGCTGCACCCCCCATCCCAGCCTTAGCGGGGCAGAAGTCAATGACAAGATGATTCAAAACATTTGCTCTAAACAATAAGGGACCAAAGAAGAAATAGTGATGTGAATTTAAAAATCCCTAGGAGCGCATGACACTGGAGGAGCTGCATTAAAAACTCATGAGATGCAGCAAAGCAGAGCACAGGGGCAGCAGCGTCATCCTGGCACCTTCAGGAAGGCTGGACGCCAAGGGGCTGGGCGTCCCGCTGCAAAAGCTGGAAGCCTGGGAGAACCAGCCCGACTACCGCAGGAGGAAGGACGCCATAAAGAGCAGAAATTAATGACATGCGTGTGCCGGGGTGCGTACAACACAGCTGTTGGTAAGCCGCCAAAAGCTTCCCTAAAAGGAGGAATAAAGCTAATGCCGTCTGGCAGGAGGCATCATGAGAAAAACAGAAACAACGGAAAAAATGTTAAGAAAGCAAAACAGGGCCTTCATACAGATTGAGCAGGAGATTCAGACGATAGCAGGAATGTTTTGTAAAGTTAACAGTTTCTCACAGAACTAAACAAGCGTCTACCGTGTGCCCCAGCAGTGACACTCAGGCATTTATCCCGGAGAAATGACAATTTATGTCCACTCAAGAAGCCGCACACTGTGGTTGCAGCTGCTTCATGTCTTCCCCAACCAACCCCGGGGCTCTGATGCTCACCAGCCAGCTGTCCTGAGATTCAAGTCGATTCTGACGCCACCCACCTGGAATTAGTGTCAGGCCCCCCAGGTTCGGGGCTCAGTGCCAAGAGACTGTCCCCATTTCAGACACCCATCGCAAGGCTGGGGCCACCGTGCTTCTGACCGGCCAGGTGAGATTCAGGGGTTCCTGAGGCCCCCGGACCTCAGGAAAGCACCTTTAGTTACTGTTACCTGTTATTATGAAGGGTGCAGCTCGTGTCCTCCAACCACACCCTGCTGATCGGGTCTGGTTTTCATGAGCTTCGTTCCATAGGCCCGGCTGCTTCCATCACTGGCTACTGGTGAGGGGCTCAGTCCCCACCCCTCTTCCACCCGGGATGGGGACAGGGCTGAAAGTTCCAACCTTCTAACCACGCCTGATCTTTGGGAGACCACCCCCATCCAGGCGCTGTACTCTTGTTACTCCAGAGATGCCAAGGGTTTTAGGGGCCGTGTGCCAGGAATGTGACCAAGAGCCCAAATACTTACTTTTCATGATATCACAGGCCATCCCCCTGGTCTTTGACCACGTCCCTCACGACAGAAAGACCATAAAGTCAAAAGCCACAGGCACATGACTGAAATCAGGCTTGTCCATCGGCATGTCCTGGAGAGCATCTCCCAGGACAAGGCCACTCAGGCTTGCACGATGCCCTCAGGTTCCAGAGGCAGGAGCGGGCGTGGCAATACACCGCTCCACGCTCAGGAACCTGGGATAATTGCTTAAAAGGCAAGGTCGTTTCTTGCTCTGAGCCTCTTTTGAGGCAGATGCGGTGTAGGACTTCCCTCATCACACAACCCATTTATCCATTCCTTTTCCTGTGTTGCTGTTTGTCCTGTTCTCTCCTTATACCCAAGCGCTTCCAGCTTTGGGAGGGACATCGGGCTGGGCCACCGAGCAGCTGGATTGCAGCCCCGGTATCAGTCCTGCCGGCGGGGGTGCTTACAGGGGCAGGGCTGGGGTCTGACCACCGGGCAGTGCTGGCACTTCACTGGAACCCCCGTGACCCGGCTGGGTGAAGGCACGGCCCCTCAGCAGGCCCTTCGGGATCCTGACACGAGGTTTTGAGGTGCCATTATGGCTCCTTGCTTAGGAACCACCCAGCTTCTGGCACTTGTAGCTGTAACCCTGGGCTTGTGATGTGGCACCAAGCAGGAAAAAAATGGAGGTGATCAGGGGAGCAGAGAGAAAAGTGTGGTGGCTGATAGCCCACGGGGTTGTCTGGTGTCCCCCACGCCCTCTCCCCAGGCGTGTTGGCAGCACAGAGCCCCCCCACGGGGGACAGCCCGCTAGCCCTCTCAGGATGCGTGGAGGTGTGGGAGCCGCCCCACAGGCCTCTCTGCGTCCTAGACCACTGTGCCCTCCACGCCTGCCGTTTCTCTACCAGGCCCGTCCTCGGGGGATAGCTCTGTGCCCCGAGGAGACAGGTGCTGCCAGCTTGTAATCTTCTGTCCCAGAATATCCAGTGTCCACACGGGTCACTCCTTCAGGTGGTTTTCTAAGTGCGTGATATAGGTCGATGGCCTGGGGCTGGCCAAACCCTGACCCCCCTTCTCATGGAACCATCTTGTTGGGAGGCAGACCCCCTGATCAAGGGTTCATTCTTGGGGTGCTGGTCACACAGAATAATCTCTTCTAGCAAAGCCATAGCACATAATCACAGTCATAAATCACAGGCACTTTCAGGCACAAATGTGGGCTCTGTCCCCTTGCCCCACTAAGCAGTTTCCTCCCCACCCACAGCCCCACTTCCTGTGAGTCCCTAGAACCCTAATGTCTCCTTTGGTATCTCACGTCTCTCCTTTGGTCTCCTGAGGGCCTTCCCACTGCAACTCGTCCATCTGGCGTGAGATCTGACTTGCAATCACACTGTTGCAGGATATTATGGGCTGTAAAGCGAGTCCCTTGGTCCAAAGAAACGATGCTCAGCCGTCCAAATTGGCGCAATATCTTCCGTTCCGTTTCTTTCATGGCACTTGGAGTGTCTGCATATATTACTGGCTTAGCAGAGCCCAGTCCTGGGTCAGTGCCTGTGCCTGTCACGACACTTTTGTAGCCCCCAGGCTACCTGCATCCTGCTCTGCCTGTGGCCCCCTGGGAGCCTTCCACACAGCCATCTGCATCTCTCGCTCCGGGTGGCAGACAGAACAGTGCACACTGGTGGTTTGTGCCTGGCAGGTGCGAGAGGGTGGTGAGCAGATTCAGCCTATCTCTGCACTGCAGCAGCCCCCACATCCACTCATTTCAGGGGCCCAGGTGGCCCTCTCAGGTGAGCACATAGGGATACCTGCTTGCTGATTCCAGGCACCTTCTGAACCTGGAAGGGGGTCTTCTGAAGGGCATAGACATGTCCTACTTTAATGCCACCCTCAAATTCCCAGAGTGACTTCCAAAGGGCTGTACCCCACATGGGCACCCCTTTATTGGCCACTACCCCTGAGTCAGACGGGCTTCTCCTACTGTCCCATTCTTCCATCACTGCAGGGGAGACAGCATACCAGGCGGCCACGGAACCGATCACTTTTCACCTTGCATCCGAGCAGCTGCCTTCCAAGTGGGATGCTGTCTGTTCACCCTGGAACTGCCGTCCACAAACCAAGTGGCTCTTGTCCCCTCAGTCGAGAGCCGTTTGAGGGCACCATCAATAGACTGTGACAATAGAGCCAGCAGTTCCAAAGTCAGTCCCAGGGGAAGGAGGCCCCCTGCCTGAAAGTGTCCCCCTCGGGGCCCCCACAGCACAGTCCTGTACAAACCATTGGCACGCTGTCGGGGCACTCTCCTGGGCACCCCAATTAGGGTGCTTACCTCATTCTAGACGTTATGGGTGTTTCTGTTTCGGGTGTCCCCACTCTTGTGCCAAAGGCTTTGGGTCCCCAGCAGGGGCTTGGGCCACGGGACCCCAGCCCTCTCTTCAATTTTATCTTGATTAAGCTGCCCGATTGTTGCTCCCAGATGATTCCAGGTCTGACTTCTCAGTGTAATCTCTGCCTTCTGCTTTTCCATTCTTCCAAACAGGGCTACATAGATGTGTTTGGGGCCCTTTAATGCTGGGGTCCCTGTGGCCCCCCCAGCCTTGACAGTGCTCTATTAAGACCTGTGTCTTGTCCGGTTCATTCATCTGATTTCTTAATAACCACTGGAAGAGTTCTGCCTGGGCCTCGCCCCACTTTCTTGTGAATTAGTTTAATGTTATTAGCATCTGTAAGACCCCAGGGGAGGCAGAGACAGGAGGTTCTTCCATCGCTTCCTGCAGGGTCTCCGGGTACATTTCTGTGCAACTTCTTGTGAGTCTATAATCATTTCAAAATAGAGTTAAAAATAAAACTCGCTGGCTATGAAATCTGAAATCTTGATGAAATGCAAACATTGACAGAAAATAATATGAATGGAGCAAACCAATTCTGGCAGAAATAAAATGAGGAATCTCCCAAGTTCCCAAGTAGCCTCAGTTGACGAAGGAAAGTCTGTCCCCCCATTTAGGGCCATTTAAGGGACACAGAAGGAAGGGCCAGTCAGCCATCCGCATATTGGCTGTGTAATAAATTAGCCCAAAAGTCGGTAGTTTCGAATGTAAAGCATCTGCTGTCTCATGGATTCCATGGGTCAGGAGCCCCCGGACAGCCCGGTGCTGAGCCCTCTGGCTCAGGGTCTCTGAGGATGAGCCCCCCACACACACGGGGTCCCTCAGACGGCCCTCAACGGCCGGGCGGCAGTGTCACCTGGAGGCACAACCAGGAAGGGCCCCCTTAGCGGTGGCGGGCAGGACTCAGGTCCTCTCTGGCTGTGGGCTGGAGGCCACGCTCATTCCCCTGCAGGTGGGCCTGTCCACAGGCAGCTCCCCGCGGCGTGAGCAGGGAAGGGTGACCCCTCACTTTTACCTCGTTCAGTTTTTAGAAGCAAACTGCTGGACCTGTCCACCCTCTAGAGGAGGGGTCGCACAAGGGCAGGGGTCTCGGGGGCTTTCCAGCTGCTGCCCACCGTAGTCAGAAACTGGCTGCCTCAAACACCTAGTGGAATGACCCATTCAGGAAAGGACGTCCCGGCAGCAGGAGCGCGCATGCTGGGAGCGAGGGGCCCGGGAAACGACGCCATGAGGAGGGGGCTTCCAGAGCTGACACCTGCAGGCAACCGCTCCGGGCTCCTGAGCTAGTGGCTGAGAGAAAAGGAAGGAGATGGCCGTCCGTGAGAAAAGACCGAAGAGAGAGACATACCCCGAGCAGGGGGCTTGGCTGAACGGTGGCCTGAACGAACCAGCAATTAGAGGCACTTGGGCGCAGAAGGGAAACTGAGCGTGGATTATGTTTTCAGTGCTGTTAGGGAATCATCATTAATTCAGCAAGATTGATCACATGATTGTGGTTTCATTGCAGGAAGTGTCCTGTCTGTGGAGATGGTGCCAAACTTGCTGAACTGTTTACCTATTTATGGCTGAAGTGTCAGGATGTCTGTAAGTTACTGCATTTCTTAAAGTAAGTATATATGATACATGCACATCACCATGTGTCTGTGGTACAGAGAGATTTATTTTAAGGAATTGACTCATGTGGTTGGGGGGGCTGGCCAGTCTGGGACCGTAGGACAGGTTGGCCGACGGGAAGCTCAGGAGGGTGTCTCTGTTGCTGTCTGAGGGTGAATTCCTTTTCCAGGAAACCTCAGTCCTTGCTCTGAAGTCCTTCGACTGATTGGATGAGGCCCACCCACCCTGGGGAGGACTGACCTGCTTTACTCAAAGTCTACAGATTTCAGGGCTAATCTCATCTGAAAAATACCCTCACAGGAACTCCCAGACGGGGGTTTGACCAAACACCTGGGCACCATGGCCTTGCCCAAGTGACGCATCAAATGAGCCGTCACAGTGGAGATGTGTGTTCATTATCTCAGTCCTCCTGCTTTTTTTCTGTATTAAAATTTTCATTAAAAGGGGAAAACAAAGGCCATTGTTCACCAGAAGTCACTATAAAGAAAGAGAAAGTCAAGCCAAAGTTAGGAGACAACATCTGCCACACAGAGAGGCAATGATGATTTCTATCCAGTGGTAGATGAAAACCTTCCCATAAATCAGTAAAAGACATAAGATCCAATATAAAAATGGGTAAAAGATACAAAAGGCATTTCGCAGAACAGGAAACAGAAATGGCCAGTGAACATATGAAAACCTGGTTAATAAGCCAGGGGTGGACATTATATAATGTGATACCATTTCACACCTACCAGATTGGTGACAGGCTTAAATTTGTGGACAAGATATGTCACAGCCAGATGGCTGGTGAAGCTACCGAGGAGAGCAAGCACTGGGGACACACACTGGCCTGTGACTCGGCAGTCCCTCCCTGGAGGTGCCCGGGGATCAGGTGTTCAGCCTGTGAGCTGTGTCCCGTCAAAGGGAATCTTGATTTCCGGCGGGTGTGGGGAGGTGACAGAGTGACAGCCATAGTCTCAGATACTCTTCACTGGAGAAAATGATCGGTACAGGCATTGGCACCTGGCAAGAGGCAGTGTGCCAGGGAATGCCTGCTTTTAGCCCATCCCAGCATGCAGTTTGCTGCTTCCTGGGAGGGACAGCAGTGTGGCATGGGGAACACATGAGCATTGTGGCTCTCAGCCATTACCGAGTCCACAGGGACCCTGGCACCTTGTCCACCCCACAGGACGTGCTGGTGATGGAAGCCAAGAACGAGGAAGGTGTGGGCTGCTTTGGTAAAAACCACACATGGCAGAGAGTGAGCAGTAAGCCCTGTGAGGCTATCGGCTCGTGCTCTGCAGTGTGACGAACATGGGCATGTCCCCTCCCTGGCGGAGGATGGGTGCATCTTGGTCACCTGCACAATGCCATGTGGAGGAAGCATGGACTGCCTTTGGGTGTCTGCTTCTCTCCTTCTACCTATATCCAGGTGGCCCAAGGAGGTGCAGCCTTGACAGAGATGCAGTGTAAGCACAGGTGCCCCTGCATCCAGGCCTCGCTGCAGACAGGCCCCACCGCTTGGCCATTGTGACCTGGGCTCCCCACCATCCTACCTGTCTTGGAAGACTGGGTGCCAAGGGAGCTATGGCAGAGAATCTCAGCATCGGCCCCATGCGTGGGGCTCAGCCATGCCCTTTCCAGCAGGGACCTCTCCTCTCTCTGAGACTCAGCATTTGGCTTCTCCCTGGGCTCGGGTAGAGACTAACCCTTGTCCCTGCAGCATCAGGCACCCTGAACTGCCCATCCTGAGGTGGGTGTCATTTGTCCACTGGGCCAGGTAGCAGGTGGCTCTCCACTGCCCAGTGAGGTTGGGTGTCTGGACCCTTGTAAGGTTCTTGGAACCCTGTGGTAGACAAGCAGCCTCTTCCCCACCCCCTCCCAAGCTGCCACTGGCCTGTGCAAAGCAGACATGGGGGAGGAGGGCGGCCACCACAGCCCAGCTGCCGAGGCTCACCTGACATCCCTACAGCCAGGAGCCCAGCCTGGCGCAGGGGCAGCCAGCTCTACACTGCACAGTGGCACCTCGCTTCACAGGAGACCAGCCTGCGCCCTGGGAGGAGGTGCCCTGACTTCGGACCCTGTATTCACTAGGGTTCTCCAGGGAAACAGAGCCAGTAGGGTAGGTGTCTATCATCTCCATCTGTCCGTCCGTCCATCCATCCATCCATCCATCCATCCATCCATCCATCCATCCATCCATCATCTATTTACCTGCCTCTCTGTGAAAGGAGGCTTATCCCAAGGACCTGGCTCCCGCGGTCATGGAGGCCGGAAGCCCCATGATGGTGCCGAGGGCTGAAGACCAGGAGGACCGGGGGTGTGAGTCCCAGTCTGAGGCCAGAGAAGGTGAGCTGAGGTGTCCCCGCTCAAGGGGTGAGGCCAGAAATGGCCGAGTTCCCCCTTCCCCTGCCTTATGCTCTCCTCAGGCTCTCTGCAAATCAGGTGGGGCCTACTGATGTGGGAGGGCTGCCCACCTTACCAAGTCCACTGGACCAGGGGGTACCCTGCAGGGTGGTGGCCTGGCCTTCTTGGGCATCATTTAGGACTCTGGCTGGAAACAGTGGTACGAGACTGTAGTGGTGTCCCACAGATGGCTTCTAGCTTGTCAGCCGTGCCATTTCCCCCAAATCAGGGTGCCCCAGGGTGGGAGGGAGGCAGCACTATGGTGATCAGAGCTCAGGAGCCCTTCACAAAGGCTTACCTCTCAGCCCTGTCAGTCCTCAACACTCCTGGTGTGGAGAGCAGTCTCCAAAAAGGGAATGCTTTGTGCTTTGGCCAGAGAACAAGATTTTAATGTCCTTGAGTTGGAAGCGGTGGGTGCCACCTGGCCCACTGGGGCACCCATGCCACGGGTTGAGGCTATGGGGGCCATGGTGATGGCAGGGTGGTCCCATCGAGGAGAGATAGGGGTGTGGCAGGGATAGGGCTCCCCTAGGCCTTTCCTCCTCCTGCCACGTCTGGTAACGAAGGTTGGCGGGAGACCACGGCAGCGAGGGGGAGGACCTGTGCTCCTCAGCAGCCTCGGAAATGACGCGCGGGGTCAGCTGCCGGGAAGAGGGCTTGGAGCGGCCTGGCTCCAAGAGGTCCCTGCTGGAAAGGGCATGGCTGAGCCCCACGCATGGGGCCGATGCTGAGATTCTCTGCCATAGCTCCCTTGGCACCCAGTCTTCCAAGACAGGTAGGATGGTGGGGAGCCCAGGTCACAATGGCCAAGTGGTGGGGCCTGTCTGCAGCGAGGGGGACTGGCCACGGAGGGGGCAAGCGGTGAATACGAGTCACGGCCCCTTGACAGTGGAAGGAAGAGCCCATGGCTTCAGGTGAAATGTCTTTTGTCACCACATCCTACACACTTTTGCAGAAATGAACAAAATTTCCTTTTCTTTCCACCATCGCTGTGCACAGGACACACCGCTGGCCTTTACAGTTAGTTTGCTTTGTGAGCTGTGGAATAGTGAGTTGATGAGAGCTGCCAGGGGAGGGTGGACATCCCCAGAAACCTGGATGGTCCCCCTCGGTGGGCCCATGAGATGCTGGGGTGTCTCCCTTTAGGAATGAGGACCTTCAGCAGGGGAGCTGTTTGTTCTGTATTAGGTGGGAGCACCCCGGAAGTCTGAGTGTGAGAGTGTGTGTGATGGGCAGGCAGGGTCTCTGCTCCGCTGTTTTCGGGGCTGCCTGTCACACAGTCGTCTTATTTTGGAGGACCACCGCCTTTGCTGGTCTTGGTGGGGGTGGCTCAATGGAAGGGAAAAGGGCCCCCACACTCCCCTCTCCCATCAGCTGTGCTGGGTCAATCGCTGCTCCACCCAGGACTTTGGATTTTGACCAAAGGATGCAAACCCTCAGGGGCAGTTAGCAAGGTCATCAGAGGGTTTGGTATCCAGCAGGAGGAGCTGTGGCAGAGTCTCTAAAATGCACGCCCAGGGCCCTCCCTTAGTCCCTGAACCCCCTGAACAGAACATCACCACAAGCGCAGGAAGACTTGCCCTAAGACAGGGAGGTCCCGGGCCGCCACTGGCCACGTGAGCCTTTGAAGGCGGCGTCCTCTGGGCGGCGGGAGGGGAAGTCAGAGAAAGCTGGAACACAGGAAGGTGCCACATGCCCCCTGTCGACTGCAGGGTGGAGGCACGCATGAGAAGAAATGCAGGTGGTCTCAGGGAGCTGACAGCCGGCCCTGGGGGGGCGGGGGGCGGTGCTCAGTCCTAACCACAGCGACTGGATTCTGCCGACAGCCTGGAGTGAACCCCCACCCCCAGCCTGCCGTGAGGGGAGCCCAGCAGCCCACCTGGGGCTCAGCAGAGCCCAGCCCAGCCTGCCCTCTGGCTTCTCTCTCCTGACTCACTTCCCCGCCAGTTCCCACGCAGGCTTGGAGGGACCCTGAACCCCTCTGCTGGGCGGGAGCCTGCCTCCCATGGGGTCTTCATCCCTGTCCCACCCCAATGCAGAAGAGAAGAGCTCACACCATCCTCGGGAGTGTACCGGCCAACTTAGCCTCTGAGGGTGGGCGGGTGGCTGAAACAGAGTGTCTGCTGTCCTGCAGCAGCCGAGGGCCACCCGAGCGTCCGCTTGGACCCAGACCGCGGTGAGGCACGTCTGATTCCGCAGGGCGATGAGGAGCAGGCCCCACCTGGCAGCGTCTGAAGACACTGGGCTCCTGCGGCTGGCAGTCATGGGCTCTGAGGGGCAGATGGGCCAGAGGGGCCAGTGACGGGGCTGAGCAAGGGCTGGGGGTGGGAAGGGATGAGGCTGAGCCCCATGGGACTAAGTGGGGGTGCCTACCGTGGGCTCAGGGTGTATGTGCCTCTGCGGTCCAAACTGCAGCCCGAGCGGATGGCGAACCAGAGAAAGGAGCTGAGCAGCATCGCATACACCTGGGGAAGGGGCCGTCAGCACCCGCAGCTCCCCGAGAGGGGCATGCCGCCTCCCAAGGAAGTTATGGGGCTCCAGAGGATCCCCAGCCGTCTGTGTTAGGCACTGTCATCCCCCAGCTGCCTCCCTGGGTTCAGGGCCTGCTCCTCCCTGGCTCCCGTGTGTGGGGAGCCTGGTGTTCCCCCAGACCAGAGACACAGGCCTGGGCTGCCTAGCCCTGCCCTTCCTTCTGGGGTGGGGGCCTGCCGTGGAGAGCAGGGACAGGTGGGCAGGGAGGGAGGGTGAGAGGCTACCGTGGAGGCCAGGCCAAGGCCGGTCAGGGTGGAGGTGATGCTCTCGTGGGTCCTCAGGAAGCTCCTGATGCTCTGCAGGCAGTCCTAGGCAGAGGGCACCATGCATGGCACCCGGCCTCTCCACCAGGCATGGCCCAGGGGCAGCCCCCACCCGAGCACTGGGAAAAGGCATTGCCACTAGGGGAAAACAGGCAGGATGGAGCTGCCTTCAGGGGCCAAGGGACCAGCTGCCTCCTTCCTCGGCTTCCCCTGTGCTGCCTATGCTGGGTCACAGGCCTGGCTCCCCGGGCAGGCCAGGTGTCAGTCCCTCTGGGGCCCACCCCCCAGCACCCGCAGGGCCCAGCACAGTGCCTCAGGGAGAGGAGGGCAGAGAAACAGCTGCAGACATGGAGGGGTGCGGGGGCTCTGGTCTGCGCCAGCATCCTGGTCCACCCAGGCGTCTAATGCCTCCCCAGAGCATGGTACCCACCCTGGCTGTCTCTCTAGGAAAAGGGAGGTGATGTCCCATCTCTGAGCCACCCAGACTGTGGCATTTGTTTTTGGGGAAGGATGCTGACATTTGGGAGCAGGCTGGGAAACAAAGCACCACATGCGGGTGCTGTTCCGAAGGCCTGGATAGGGAGGGAGAGGAGGCTGGCTTGGAGTCCATTAGTCCATCGTCCATGCACTCATGCCCCAGGTCTGGGTCCTCCGGCCCTCCTGCTAATGCTTGGACCTCTAGACCTGCCTGGAGTCGAGCCCTGCTCACGCCCAAGCCATGGCACAGACTCCGGCTGCCCTGGAGGTCGGGACCTTTGGCTCCTGGGGACAGCTGGTGCTCAGGTCTGTCCCAGCCAGGAAATGGCCCCAAATACAAGAGCCTGGGGCCACGCCCCTGCAGCCTGGCCTGCGTGCTCCGTGGGAAAACACACCCTGCTCCCCACATGGTCACACTTCCTGTTGGAAGGCAGCCCCTGGGACAGACCAGGATGGAGGACACCATCCCTGCCTCCACCGGCCTCCCCTCGGGCTCGTGGGAAGGGCTTTACAGAGGGCCTTTGCCATGGTGGAAGGTGCACAAAGCAGGCCACACCCCTTGCCTGGCAGACAGAGGACCTAGGCCTCTCTCTGGGCAAGCTGGGCCCTCCCTTGCTCTCACTCCTCCCAGCACGCTGGCGTCCTGGGGCCCAAGGAGATGGTGTGGTGTCAGCTCCATCCTTGCTGGGCGGGGAGCCATTTGCACCCTCCTGCCTGCTCCTTGGAGGGTGGCCAGGAGCCTCTTGCAGAGAGAAGGGCTGGGTTTGTTTCCCAGACAGCAAGGGCGGGTTGCTGGCCGGCAGGGTGGGGGTTGAAGGCGCTTCCCTGCCTCTGTGTCACAGTTACTGAAGCCCTCACCACCAGACGCTGGCCTGGCCCCTCTGTGGAATGCCCTTCCTGGTGAGGGAGCCTCTCCACATGGCTGCCGTCCACCTGCCCCCTGGCTTCTAGAGGCTTCCCAGGGCGCGGTCACAGTTCCTGGCTCCGGCCTGGCCTCAGGAAACCCCCACATTGGGGCTGCAGGAAGGGAGTGAAGGAGTCTGGGGCCTGTGTCCAGCCCTCCCCACTGCCTCCACATCAGTAGCCCTGCAGTGGGCAGGTCCCGGCGCTGGCAGAGTCTGGGTCTGGGCCGAGCCGGGCCCCTCCTCACCTGTCTCTCGGCCGCCTCTCCTCGGCACAGGGTGTCCACCGCGTTCCCGGGAAGGCTGGAGGGGGCAGGCTTCCCACAGCACAGGAACTGTAAGGATGCCAGGGAAGCTATGGTTTGCCCTGGAAACCCTGGGATCCCTGTCTGACAGATGGGGAAACCGAGGCACCAAGGGGCCAAATGACTAGGCAGAGTCCAGCAGAGGGGGGCCCCAAGAGGCCAGGAGCAGGGCTGGGGGAACTGCAGCTGCCTCTCAGGAACACCTGGCCCTCCCTGCCCTGCCCAGGGGGCTTCCCCATCAAGGGGGGCCGGGACCCCCTGTCCGGCATACTGCACACTGCCAGGACTGGGCTGGCCCCTAGGCCGTGGCCCGCAGCCACCGGCTCTCCCTCACGCTGCACCGGTGCACCCCCTTAAGATTCGGACCCTTTTTGCTCTGGGCCGCACACATTCGGTAGCTGGCCCTGCCCAAGGCAGAGGGAGAAGAGAGGTTCCTTGTACCCCTCTCCCCTGAGGGGCCGCCCCGTGCTCAGTGCCAGCTCACCCTGGGGGGCCACCCTGTACCATTTTCTGGATCACAGTTCATTCGGGGAGGCTGACCAGCCCAGAACACCTGGTGGGGGCGACTGCCCCCCATGCTCACCGTGTCCTGGATGGCCGCCAGCTCTTGCCGCCTGATGCTGGGCGAGCTCCTCACCGCCTGGTCATACACCAGGTCGTAGACGTCCAGCACGGCATCCTCCATCTGCCGAGAACATCGTGGGAAGGCCCCTGTGCTGGGGAAGCCCCTCTGCCCCGCAAAGCTCCCTGAGTGCTGGGGGATGTCCAAAGGGTCCCCTCCTCCTTCCGCCAGGCAGAGCTCCCCCAGGGCAGAGCCCGGGTCCCTAGGAGGCTGGTCACTGCCGATCCACAGACTTGGACTGTGTGTGGGACAGGCGGGTCTAAAGTCCTTGTGCCCCACGGGAAGGAGAGGGGCTTTGATTCCCCACTTCCCATGCTAATGAACCCTCCCCATTGAGCCTGCACCCTCCCAGTCATCTCAAACTGGGTTGGCCTGTGTCCTCCCCCACCCCTGGGAGATGGGCAGTGCCCCAGACTGGGGGGCAGGTGCCAGGTTGGCCACCGCTGCTGGAGGGCCTGGCCAGGGTCCCTCTCGTAGCTTCAGTTTCCTCTAGGGTGAAATGGAGGTCAAGACCTTCCAGGCCACTATGTCCTCATGGGAGGAGGTCCTGATGAGTCTGGGGCCCTGACGGAGCCAGCCTGGGGTCAGTGGGGGCCCCCCAGTATGCTGTCGTTATTGTAACTCTGGCCAGAGGAGCCACAGGCCCTGGGGCTGAGCTGAAGCATCCCTCCCGGCAGCCGACCCGGAGAAACCACATGCCCTGCCCAAGACCCCTGGCCTGGCAGTGGGGGCTGGGCTGTCCTCCCTCACAGGCCTGGGCTAGGTGGTGCTGCCCCCTCTGTCCTACAGGAGCTGCTGTAGGACCCCAAGGCCAGTGCTCAGGTTTAGTGGCTCTCTGGGCTGCCCCACCCCCACTGTCTGCTGAATCTGCCTGGGTGGGGACAGCTCCAGCAAGCTGGCTGGGTGGGCTCTGGGGGGACCAGGGCGGCCCTCGGGGCACTGCTGGCGGTGTGTCCACCAGCCCCATGGACCCAAAGGCCAGAGCTGCCTGAGCTCACGAGGTAGGAGCTGGAGAGCCAGGGACGGGCGTGGCCTCCATGGGTGGGGCCGGAGTCCCGGGAGCTGTGAGCACTGGGTTTCTAAGGTTTCTCCTGGCACTGCTGTACTTAAGCCATGCATGAATTATTAAGCAGAGCCTGGCAATTCATTTCCCGGAGGCAGGCCCCGTGGGGACAAGGGAAGCTGTGGCCCAGTGGCTCAGGCTGCGGAGGAGCGTAATTAATAGCCCTTGGCTCTGTATTCATTGCACGCCACTGTCTCCACATCCCCACCAGCCCTGCCAGTTTTGCAGGCCTGTGTCAGCTGGAAAACCCCAGCCCGTTACTCCCTCAAGCCCTGGTTGGGTGTGCAGCTGGCCCCGGAGGAGGGGAGAGCACGCCCCTCCACCCCTCCTCCTCGGGCCTTGGGTTCCCCATCCATGGGGTTGGCCTAGACCAGAGCGTCTTGACCCTGTGTTCCAGGACATTTTAGGGGGACCCCTGGGGAAGGTGCAGGGGAATGGTGTGAACGGGCCTGGCAGGCTTCAGACCCTCAACTCAGCTTGGCTGGAACAGAGAGTCCGGCCCTTTGGGTTATCAGCAGGCCCTCTGGAACAAAGGCACCCGGGGCTGGGACCTGTTTGGCCCGGAGTGGTCCCAAGGCTGAGCTCCTGTCCATGGTCCCCAGCAGGGGCCACAGGGTGGAAGGCTGGGCCTGCCCTGCTGCTTAGGGCCACAGTCCTGGTACCAACACTGACCCCCACGAGCGCAGGACAGCTCTGCATAGTCCCACAGAATGAAGTTCCCACTTAGGCTCAGTGGGTGCAGGTGGGTCCCACTGAGCCCTTTGCGTGCATCCTCCTTCCTGCCCTGCAGCAGGCCCCTCGCCCCCCTGGCTCCGTGCTCCTTCACAGACAAGGACACTGAGGCCGAGGAAGGCAGGCTCATCACCTAAGGGCACAGGGCAGAGGGGCTGACCCCAGACTTCAAAGCCAGGGGCCCTTCACCCAGGCCACCACTGGGCCCACGTGGGCCTAGACCACACTGGATGGTGGGGAGGCCCCCCAGAGGGCTCAGGGGGATGCCCCAGCATCCCCCTCCCCCAGATCAGGCAGGGGCTGTGATGGCGAGGATGCTCAGCGGGGAGCTGTCAGCCTCATGCCCCCTCCCCGGGCTGGCAGCCCCAGCTGGATCACGGCCTGCGTGGCCCCTGCACGGCCCCACCCCTACAGAACCACAGATCGTGGGCTCAGAGCTGTAACCACACAGCTGCAGAGAGGAGAGGGTAGGTTGATGGCGCCCCCAGGAGAGCTGGGCCCAGGGGCCCCAGAGCACCCTGGCAGCTGTCTTGATGGGGACCACCCATGCTTCAGCCCAGACCCGAATGGGCCAGACCTGCCCTCAGCAGATGGGAACGTGAGCCGGAAACACAGCCCCACCCAGAGCCAAGGCTGCCTTGTCGGGGTTCTGACCCACTACAAAGCCTCTGACGAGAGGAAATGCCTTTTTTTCTAATCTCGTCACAGGTGGGTGACCCAGGATGCTGGTGGGAAGCTTGGGGCCCCCCTTTAGCCCGGAGACCCAGCCTCCTAAACTCCAAGGGACGTTCATGGGAGAAGCTCGGCCCACTTCTGAGGGCGAGGAAAGCGGGCAGCAGAGAGGGCAATCACACACCTAAAAGCCCACAGTGCAGGCTCTGCCCTGCTGCTCTCCTGACCCAGCTGCTCTTTGCCCGAATGCACAGGGGCCAGGGCCACTGGGACTCCTAATACACAGGGAGAAATCACCTGTCATCTGCCCCAGTGCTCTACCCAGAAATGAATGAGCACTTCTAGCCAGACCGGGCTGGTCCTTACAGCACATGGAGAAACTGAGGTCCCAGGAGAGGAGAAGGGGGGCCTCAGGGCTGCAGACACTCGGGGTAGACAGGACCTGAGGAGCTGGGCTCCCTGTCCCTCTCTGTGGCCCCTCCTGCCAGCCTAGCAGCTTCTCAGGGTGCCACAGAGTCTGGGCTCACTGGGGAAGTTGGCCTGAGTTGTGCCATCTGGGCCTTGTCTGTGTCTGGGGACCAGGGGTCTCCATGGCCAGGGGTGGGCCTGAGGTCTGGGATGAGACTGGGCAGCAGACATGCTTCCCCAGGAGTCAGAAGCCCCTCTGGGAATGCATCCCACGTGGGGGCTACCCGCAGGCCCGCTGACCAGGGAGAGCAGACAGTCTGAGGTGGCTGTGGCCGCAGGCGCTGCAAGGGGTGTTGGCACTGTCCAGCCTTGCTCTGTGCCCAGCCTGGTTGACAAGAGCTACCAGTGTCCCCTCCCTGGCCAACTGTGAACCCTCCTGGCATCCCTCTCCCCAGCCCAGCAATCTGGACAGCCCTACGCTGAACAAAGGGTCCAGAGTGGCCTGGCGCTGGGGCTGACACCACACGTGAGCCCTTGGGGACTCACAGCCCCTCTCTCTGAGCCACTTGGGCAGCCATTTCCTCTGCCCAGACTCGGCAGGGGCCTGGCCTTGGCCTCGGCCTCTGCCCCTGGTCTGGGAATGGGTGCTCCCCACAGGAGGTAGGCAGCCCCACTTCCCAGACAGGCTCTCAGGGCCCTGAATTCAGACATTTCTGGAGGGCCAGGCTGCCAAGGCCCTGGCTCCCGCGGGGCTTCCCTGAAGCTGTGGTCGCACCCCGCTCACCTGGGTCAGCGCCCACTGCACAGGGCCCACTGAAGACCCACAGCCTACAGGCTTTGAGCTGCGGTTGTGGCTCTGTGTGACCACTGAGGCCTCCCTCCATCCCTCTGGGATGGGATGGGAGCCCTCCCACACCCTGAGCCTCCCTGAGGCCCTGCTGAAAGAGCACCCAGAGAAGGTTAGCTGAATGGATGGACAGATGGACAAAGGAGCCCCCTCCCATTAGGACCTACCCTCACCGTGGCCACGGGCAACAACAGCTGAACCCCACCAATATGGCAGGCCCTGGGCAAGAGCCCACATTGGGAACGGAACGGGTAGGTGGCCCTTGGCCATCCCTGGCTGCCTGGGTGCCCCTCCAGGACTGAAAGGAGCCTATCTCCCGTGGATGAGTCCTGGATGCCCTGTCCAGCCATCCTCCGGGCCCTCAGTGGCCGGCCCAGCCAGGAGGGCATCCCTTTCAGTGTATTTTCTGGAACGCTGACCCCTCTAATCAATCATGTAATTCTGCCCCTGCTTCCCACCCCCACTCCCACGGCCATCCTCAGAGATCAGGAGGGCAGGGCCGGGGGGCCTCAGTGGGGGGCGTCCCAGACTTGCTCTGGCCCCCTCCAGACCTCCTCGTTCCCTGGGGAGCTGCTGCCCCCCAGCCCCAGAGAGGGCGGGAGCACAGACCCCTCCCCAGGCGCCAGGGGGGCAGGGCAGAGCCCTCACCTGCGTGGGGTTGTGGAATCTCCAGAAGGCCACTTGCACCAGGACGCAGAACACCAGGGCAAAGCACAGGAAGCCCTGAGGGCAGAGGGGTCATTCCGTCCACAGCGAGTCCCGAGCTCAGCTCCCCCTGCACCCAGGGGGGACCTTAGGCAGCCGGTACACTGGTTTCTGTCCCTTGCCCCAGGGAGGGAGGCAGACCCTGGAATGATATGGACCCCTGCCCATGGGGCTTCCGGGAGGGCTGACCCCGGGAGGCTGGGCAGAGCCTCCCCTCACCCTGTGACTTGGGCCTGGGGAAAGAAGCCTCCTCTTTTAGGCAGCCGGGCAGGAGGAAAGTCTGTGCGGCCTCTGGCTGCCCTCGTGCCGGATGGCCTTCTGCGGCTCTGAGCAGGGACGGCTGCCTTAGTTCTGGTCTCAAGCCCTTGCTTCTACGGCTGGGACCCAGGGCCGTGGCCAGCAGGCGCTAAGGCCAGGTGGGACACCGCAAGGCCTGACCAGGGCAGGAGGCTCCTTCCCGTCTTCAACCTTCCAAAGTCCCCACGCCCCTCACTCTGCCAGTATCGAAGGAGACGCAGCTCTCCGGAGGGATTGTCTCTCCATTACCGCCCCTGTGCCCTTCTTTTTTTCCATCAGGGGTCTGCACTGTTGAGGTCCACCTTGCAGAAGCCGATGCGTTATCGGGACCCCTCCCCTGAACAGTGCACACATGCCCAGTGCTCTGCTGAGTACGCCTCAGAGGGTCACCCTGGACTAAGAGCCCTGGCCCGTATGCTACCCTGGGGATGTCACCCCAGACCATAGTTAGACCTGCCATCTTCATGCTGGAGACCCACAGATCTGGGTCTGTGGCCAGGGTGCCTCCTGGAGCTCTGGACAGCCTGGCCACTGACCGCACAACCCAGGTGTCCAGAGGCCTGATGGAGCTGTCTGTCCCCCGTCCCCACACTGGCTCTGTGAGTCCGCTGCCCCATGCCCTGTGTCACTGGCTTACATGACACGTCATCTGCCTTGGACTGTCCACAGCCTGGGACAAGCTGTGGCCAGGCACCCCTGACCCATGGTCCTCGCTTAGGGTGACCCTGGGGAGTCAGTGAACAATGGGAATAGACAGATGTAGGGCAAAGAAGCAGGCCACACCAGGCCACCCAGCTCTGGAAAAGAGCCCCTCCCCCCAGCATCCTCCCCCCCCTTGGAGATGTTACCTCCTCTCTCCCTCCCCATCTTCCTTCCCTCCCCTCTTCCCCCCAACTTTCCCCCTCCTTCTCCCTCTTCCCTGCCTGGCTGATGGCTGCCTTCCCCATCTGGAAGCCATCTCTCAATGCTGCCTCCCAGGCTGGAGGCCCTGAGCCAGCTCAGGGGATCAGCATTTTCCAGAAACCATTTCATTCCTCAGGAGCGAGAGCATCAATTCCCTGCCTCCCACCCTGCTAGCCCACCCGCCTGCCTGCCCAGCACAGAGTCTTGGACAGTGGAGGGGGACCCCCAGGCCCCCAGGGCCTACGTTGTGCAGAGCTACAGGTGCAGCCAGGCCCGTTTTCTCTCTCCTTCTAATAAACACAGATATGTAAATAAATCGGAATGGCTCCCTTCTGCCGGACTGCCAGCCCTGCCGTCTCAGCCCACAAGCCTGTTCATTTCCTGTGCTAGAGGCCAGTTGGGGAGCAGCTGGAGGAGGTGGGGGCAGGAAGGGGCGGAGAGGGGGGAGCAGCCAGGCGCCTGGCACGTTGGCAAAGATGTCCGGCTCTGTGGCCTTCACTTGTGCCCATGCACACAGACACACACAGCCAGCCAGCGCACACACATACACACACACACACACACACAGGCACGCGGCTCAACAGCGCTGGTGCCCCAGCGCCCTCTAGGGCCCTGCAGGGCTCACCGTCCGGGCTGGGGGCCGGAAGCGTCCAGCCGTGGGGCCCCGGGCGGCTCCCACACAGCGGCGTGAGCCGACCCCAGATGCTCCCTGACCCCTGGCCCACAGCTCAGAGCAGAGAAGCCCTAGCGGCCGGATGGGCGGCGGAGAACGGACTGGACCTGGAGACGGGCGGTGCGGGAGCTCTGCGGGCAGGAGCCTGCGGTCGCATTGCCCCGCCTCCGGACTCTGCCGCCGGAAGCCTGGCACCACAGCGCCCCCTGGCGGCCGAGGCTGCAGCCCCGGCGCTGGTCTCTCCGGGCCACCCTCGCCTAGACGTCTGGGCCCGTCTGCCGCAGCCTTGTGTTCCAGCCTGCGCCCCTCCGGCGGGCCCCATATCTTAGGGTTCCCCTCTAGGGGGACAGTCCACCTGTTCGATCAGCTCCCACTGCGGCCTCCCCTCCCTGCCCCACCGGCCCTGGGCTCCCAGCTGCAGTCAGACTGCACAGGCCTGAGCACTAGTGACTGCCTACACCACGGCTGCGGTGCCCACGCACCTGCTGGCCTGGTGAGGGCTGGGGCTACCTGACCCCACTCTGGGCTGGCTGGCCCAAGGCTGCAGCTCCAGGAGGTGATTCTGTTCCTGCCCTTGGAGACGTTTACAAACAGAAGTCATTCAACAAACATTTGCTCAAACAGGCTGAGCTGAGAACCCCACAGGCCCTGTGGACCCAGAAGGCTGCCCTTAGGGAGTCCAGAGTGGTTGGTCTCAGGGGTCACCTGGGGAGCACAGATGACAGCACGAGCTCCCAGGGGTAGCCTGTCCCAGGACCACCCACAGGGCAGGGGAGGGGTCTATAGAAGCAGAGGGCTGGAGTCAGGAAAGCGGGGTATCCCAGGTGGAAGGAGGAAGGGAGTTTGGAGGGACTCTCAGAGCTGCAGGGAGACTGGACTCCATCTTGAGCACTACATGGAGACAGAGAAGGCTCCAGGCAGGAAGGTGCCAAGCTGTGGGTTGGGGCTCAGGTCAGAGCTCAGGGTACCAGTGAGCTGCAGCCCCCAAGCAGGGGAGAAAGGAGGGCTTGAGCCCAGGGGGCTGGAAGGTGGAGTGTCAGGACAGGCTGGTGGGGACCAAGATGGACCCACGTGGAGGAGCAGGTGTGGGAGGAACAGGGAGCCACTGCTGTGGGCTGAGGTTCAGGGGCCTGTGGGACCTTGGGAGGCAGGGGAGAACCCCTCCTGTAGCTGCAGAGAACAGAGGGTATGGAGCCCAGGAGGAGGCTGGGGGCAGGCTGCATCGGGAATGCTGCTGGAGCCCAGGCCTCCTCTGGGGCTGGGGCTGGGGGGTTCCGGGGGTTCCCCTGCCCACCCTCTCCTCTCCAGAAGGCAATGAATTCATGGGAACCTGTTCCCAGAGCCTGCAGGTGAATCGGAGCCTCCCTGGGCCTTTGGGAAGGGCTCCCAGGCCTGGGGGGGAGGCCTCTGCTTTCACTGACCCTATGCTGGTGGGTGAAGTAGGGCCCTGGGTGGCGGGGTCCTGGCTGACCCTCAGCCTTGGAACCCATGTTTTGTGGGTACACTACAGGGGCAGCAGGCTCCCTGGGCTCACAGCCCTGCCAGCTTTTGATCTCATCCCAGTGGCTGTGGGACTGGGGCCCCAGAAAACTCACCGCGGCCATGAGGCCTGTGGCCTCCCTCACTGTGGCTGCGGCACTCAGCACGGCCCCCAGGGTCAGGAGCCCGGCCAGCGTGATGCTCATGTAGAAGGCTGGTGGGGGGAGAAGGGAGGAGGGTCGGGGTGCCGAGTGCATAGAGCCTGGATCTGAAATCCAACCCAAGGGTCAGCAGGGGTTGGGGGGCTGTGGGGTTCTGGGCTTCAGGGACTCCGCATCGGCCACACACCCCAAGGCTCAGAAGGACCCAGGGAAGGAGGGGGCCCTGCCGCCCCCACCTCGGCTTCCTGCCCTCCCTGCCCTCCACCTGGAGCTATCGTTGAAGCCACATACGGACTTCCTATGCCCTAGTGACAGGTGGCCCGTGTGGGAGCCTTAGTCTTATCAGTCCAGCCCAGTCCCCAGGCTTCCTGCCCCAGGGAGGCCGGGGCTCACAGTAAAACGGGCGTCTGAGGCCCAAGCCCCTGAGGGTGCGGCGCCGTCCCTGGGAGCTGCTCAAGGCCTCACTGGGCAGGGTCCCCTGCAGCCAGAGCACCCCCTCCAGGACACAGAGGCTGGGTTGGATGCCATCTGACGTGCCCATGCAGTCTGCAGGCTCCCAGGGCAGGGCAGGAGACCCCGGTGGGCACACGGACTGTCGTCCAGACCCAGGGGCCCTTTCCACCCCTGGCTTCCCTGCCTGCCCCAGCCTGGCTCCTCTAGGGTGCCCCCACCCCAGCCCGGAACTGCCCCACCTGCCCTGCATGTGAAGGCCCTCCCCCACAGCTCCCCTGGGCCTCACTCACCCCCAAGATGCGTGGCCTCAGGAAGGGTCCGCTCGGAGGATACGTTGTGGATGACCGCAAAGTGGGCCCCAAAGTAGGTGAGGGCAGCCGTGGTGGCCACAGAGAGGCCCAGTAGCTAAGGGTGGGGTGGGGGGGAGCGTGGTGGGGCTGCACCCAGACCCGTAGGCCAAGGCCCCAGAAGAGGGCCAAGGGCTCCTGGGTCCCCCAGACCTGCCCTCCTTCAGCTTTCTGTTCTCACATGAGGCTCTCAGCTGTGGGCCTTCAGGGTGTTTCTGTGGGGTGGTCTCAGGGAGGTCTTTGCCCCAGACACCTCACACACACACACACACCACAAACTCAGATATTCCACCACACACAGACCCCCCACCACACACACACACGCGCGCACACACACACACACACACACACACACACACACCACCGCAGACACTTCTCCAAGGACCTGCAGCCCGGGGTCATTCTGTCTGCAGAATGGGGAATGGGGCCCCCAGCCCCTAGCAGCCGCCCCGGCCACACCCTGACCCTCAAAGGAAGCCAGTGTCTCCCCTGACCTGGGACAGCGTGCCCTCCAACTCCAATTCACCAGCCACCCAAGGTCCTCAGGCCTCCTGCAGGCCCTGCCCTTCCTGGCAGAGGACAGACACTGCCCACGGAGGCATCCTGCCCGAACAGTCGCCCTGCCAGTAGTCCACCACCAAGGGCCCCAGGCTCATGTCCCCAGGGCAGGACGGAGACCGCAAGGCTACTGTGGGTCGGGGGGACCACAGTACTGGAGATCCAGTAACGTGCCCCTGCCACCCGGCTCCCACCCTGCCTGCCTGATACCAAGATGAAGAAGCTAGTGACCAGCATCTGGCATTTGGCCACCCTGACTCGGCTCCAGGGCTCCATGGCAGCCTCCCGTCCTCGCCTCTCCTCTCCTCTCCTCCCCTCCCGCCCCTCCCCTCCCGCTGTGGTTTCCTCCCACTATAGCTGGGTGGGGGTTGCAGACCACAGCGGCCTGCCCAGGAGGTAGGCCGTATCCTCCCATCTGTCAGCATGCCTCTGGTGCCCCATAAGAAGGGCAGACTGGAAGGGGAGCTGCAGTGAGGCCAACTCCTGCCACCCTGCTGCCCCAGACTGGCCCAAGGCACCAGGCCGTTTGCAGATCTCTGAGCCTCCCCTGGAAGGGCATGGCCCTGTTGTTCTTGGTGTGGCACAGGGGGAAGAGATGGGTTGGGAGGAGAGGGTGCCGGGCAGGGGTGAGCCCCCTGTCTCAGGAGTGTGCAAGCAGAGGCCAGACACTCAGGGCTTCCTGCCGGGGCCTAGAGGAATTCGGGAGATGGTCTAATCCAAGCATTATTACTGCAGCACTGTCTTACAAAACACCATCTGAAATGTTCTGTGACAATGAAATTTTTGAAAAGGAATTTGATTTTCGCTGCCTTAGTGGTACACATAGATGATGTGGAGCAGAGACTTCTTGAGGGGCCGGGGAGGGTGGGGTGCCTCTCCCCAAACTGGAGGCTTTTTCAAAACAGGGATGCGTGATTAAACTAAGTGATGTGGACCCAAGGGAGGGCAGGGCTGCCAACTCAGAGGCATGTGGTCGTGCTAAGTGGCCACATGGCCAACGGGGCCTGCGGTGCACTCAGTGAAACCCCCATTGGGGTAGTCTGGGCCAGTCTGAACTGCTGGGGCACCACTGTGCCCTCTAGGATGGCAGGGCTGATGGGAGGTCGCGGGTTCACTGCTCCCCTCTCTCTCTGGAGGTGCTCCTGTTCTACGTTGCATAATGTGGGGCTCTCTTGGACCCTTGGGGACCTCAGCAGGGGAGGAGGGGAGTAGACATCTACAGGCAAGATAACCCCTTGGCCTTCTAGCAACCAGCAGAATGGTGCTCTGTGTGGGCCTGCAGCTCCAGCCACTTCCTCCCTCCCACTGCAGGAACCCCTCGTCCATCCCAGCGCCCCTGGGCACCCTACCCCACCCCGCCCTGTCCCCAGGGACCCCCACTCTGGGTCTGCAGGGGCACCAGAGTATCTCCAGTGCCCTCAGCTTGTGGTGTGGGTGCCCGGCACAGGGTCTGGGATGTGTCAGGGAAGGGACTGTGCAGGCTGGCCAGCTTGATCCTCTGTCTGCTGGGGATGAGATGGAGGTGAAGAGGAAGTGATGCCTTTTTCCAGCTCTGGTGGGCATCGCAGGGCCCCCTGGGCAGCCTCTTGGGAGGCAGCGAGGTGGCACTGCATGTACATTGCCAGGACCCCGGCTCCTCTGCATGAGTTTCGAGAAAACTTTGTAGGTGGGGCCAGGCCTGGGTTCTGACCTGCCCCCGCTGAGTGCCACGGCCTTGCTGTGTCCCCCCAAAGGACGCTAAATCCCAGGGAAAGGAGGAAATGAGGCTCCCCCATGACCAGCCACGTGACCCCAAGTCAGTCCCTCTAAAGACCAAGCCCTCCTCCCTGTGCCCACTGCCCGGGGCGGGGAGCCTGGCATATCTGCTCTCTCCACATGTGTCCCAGTGAAGCTCCGCCCCCTTGGCTGAGCCCTACCCTCTGTCTCAACACCCCTGCTGCAAGGGGAAGCGGCGTCCGGAGGGGAAGCTGCTGGGCCTGCCTGCTGCCTGGCCTTCAGCCACCTGCCCATCTCCATGGGGTACCTGGGGTGGCCACCCACTCCTGTGGGAGCCGGGTGGGTCAGGGGGGCCTAACGCACAAATCCTTCCCCAAGAAGCTGCCCAGGGAGGCAGACTGCCCCCTATCCTGAGGGCCTGGCCCTACCGTGAGCCGGCCTAGCTGCCCCCCGTGCTCAGCTCCACTGAAGTCGCTGGGCTTGGATGACACGCATGTGTGTACGTGTGTCTGTTGTAATGTGTTACTTGCTGGCCGAGCACCTTCTTTTCCTTCCCTCTCCCCCTCCCTCTTCCAATAATGGATTCACTGAAAACCTGTTTTGTCCCTGGAGCCAATGGAAAGAGTCCCAGAGGGCAAAGTTGGAGCAGTTAGAGAAACAGGGTCAGTGACCACGTGTGGGATGATGACTCCCAGGATCAAACACCCACAGACCCACTGCTGCCCACAACTGCCCAAGGAGGCCACACAGGGGAGGGGACCCCGACTGCATGCTAGAGAGGCAGGATGGAAGGACTCGCCTGGCGAGCACACCTGTGCCAGGGAACATGTGGGACGTCACAGGGGAGAGGCCGTGTCGGCAGCAGGACCCTGGCATGGTGGGGAAGGCTATCGGCTCTGGGTCGTGCCCCCAGGCCCACACGCCAGGCTCACCGTGACTGAACATCAGACAAAGCCCCAGAGTGGTGGCCACAGAACACCTGAGGGGGGCTCCCCTCCAGTGCTAAGGCCAGCAAAGCAGGGGAGCCCCAGAAACCACCACAGCCCAGAGGGGCCAGGGAGATGTGGCGGCTAAACGTGACGTGGCATCCTGGATGGGATCCCGGGAAGGAAACGGGATATTAAGTAACAATTCAGAAAATCCGAGTCAACTGCGGACTTAATAATAGTGGATCCATATTAATCCATTTGCTGCAACGGATGCCACATACCCGTGCCAGAGGGTCCACTTTGGGGGAAACTGGGCGTGGGGTGGATGCGAACTCTCCATACTTCCTTTGCAACTTTTCTGTACATTGAAAACTGTTCTAAAATATATTGTATATAAAAATGTGGTTTTGTCCTCTCCCCACCATCTCATGGCACAGAGGGGAGATGGTTCTGCCACCCTATCACTGAGTGTGGAACTCTGCCCCTTGCTTGCCTACCAGACTCCATTCACTGCTCGTCCGCGAGACAGCCACTTACTCAGTGACGTCAGCTGCCCACCTGCTCCTTCACCCATCCATCCTCATTCACTAGTTCCCTCTTGCACCCTTTCATGCTGTTGTCAATTCACCCAGCTGTTGACTTGCCCCTGCCGACTGCCTCAGTTTACCTAGATAAGTTGCCTCTGCGAATCTGGGTGGGGGGGCATTGTCACTGAAGTAGGCCCTTCCCACTGCAAGGCTGCTCCCCTTGGGCCAGGAGGTGGCAGCCTCTACCCTCCTTCCAGACAGCCGCCCACCCGGAGGGAAGCCTGAGCGCCCCTCCCCCTTCTCTTCCATCAGAGATAAGCCAGGGCCCTGAGGCCTGGAACAGGGTGGGGACCCTGGCCCCAACCCTGTGGGGCTGGTGGATAGGGACACAACCTCTCCCACGCAGGGAGGCCAGCATGTCTCATGGGAGTGCACCTGGGAAACACCGATCTTCACCGTTTCTCTATCACTTTGCCTTCTCCAGCCTGTCAGAATGGGAATCACACTGTGGATAGCCTGTTCACACTGGCCGCCTAGCAATGAACATCTGCGTTTCCTCCATGCCCCTTCTGACTTGAGAGCTCATTTTTCCTTATTGCCAAATAGTACTCCATTGTCTGGATGCATCACTTTATTTACCCACCACCTACTGAGGGACATCTTGCTTGCATCTGAATTTTGGCAATTATAAGTGAAGCTGATATAAACATCCGTGTGTGGGGTTTTGTGTGGACGTAGTTTTCAGCTCCTCTGGGTAAATACAGGGAGTGCGATTGCTGGATCACATGGTAAGAATGTGTTTGGCTTTGTGAGAAACCGTCAAGCTGTCTTCCCACACAGCTGCGCCACCTGCGTTCCCACCCGTGGCGAGTGTGGGTCCCTGCCGCGCCTCGTCCTCGCCAGCATTTGGGGTGTCAGTGTTCTGGATTTTGGGCACTCTCCTAGGTGCAGCGTGGTGGGACCTCAATGGGTGTTTAATTTGCACTTGTCTCCCTGGCGACTCAGATGTGGAGCACCTTTAATGCATACATTCGCAGTGTGTGTCTTTGCTGAGGTGTCTGTTCGGGTCTTTTGTCCATTTTTTAACTGAGTGGCTTTCTTATTGTTGAGTTTTGAGTTCTTTGTATATTTGGCTTATACAAGTCTTTTATCAGACACATGTTTTGCAAATATTTTCTACTTGTCTGTGTCCTGTCTTTGCATTCTCCTAACTGGGTCTTTTGCAGGGCAGAGGTTTCGTTTTAATGAAGTCCAACTAATCCGCCATGGCTCTGGTGCTGCATCAGCAACCACCCCCACTGCCTCCGCCGGGGGTGGTCATCTGTCTGCAGGGCCCTGTCAGCACTCCCTTCTGTGGGATGCGATGCCGGCCCATTGCCTTGATGGTATCACATTGATGGGGCCTGATGGGTGAGGAGAGATCACTTGGGATCCTCGGGTGCCGGGGGTGGGTGTCCCAGGTGTGCGGCAGGTCAGGGTGCCACCAGGAGTCCTCGGCTGACCCCTGACGTTAGTCACAGTCCAGCATGCTTAGGATTCGGAGCAAAGCCCTGCCGTACTCTGTGGACAACTCTCCTTTTGAGAAAGAGAACCTGGCTTGCTTTTGGGCTGTAAGAGAGACTGAATGTGTGGCCACGGGCCACCAGGGTTATACCACACTGCTTCCAGCCTGGAAAGGGCACCCGTTTGGCCTCACCACAATAGATCCTTACTGTCTGTCCCTGACCACAAGGCTTCCTCCCAACACCACTGTGGACTTCAGGGAGGGCCTTGGTCACTACCACAGAGAACTTCCCTTCTGACCAAGGCGCTCATGTCTTAGCCAGTGGAGCGGGGCAGCGGGCCACTCTCACAGAACTTAGCGGGCTCACAGTGGTCCCCACGGCCTGATGAGACAGCAGATAGGATGCAGCCGTGGCACCTGCTGAGCCCAGTGCTTCTCGGGGCTGAAACAGCAGTGCCCGGGGGCAATGTGCGGTCTGCACCTGCCTTTCCCCTCATCTGAGATCCGCGCTTCAGGAATCATGGGGGTGGGCATGATGCTTTCTGTCATCACCCTAATGAGATGCACGGCGGGCATCTTTGTTCCCATCCCCCACGTCCAGGTTCTCCTCGTCTGG